CAAGTAACAAGGGCCATCAAATTAACAATCAGTGTGAGAGACTGACATTTTTTAGTAGCCCGGTTTTCAAAAAACCAGGTATATATATATATATATATATGGCCTTATCTTAGCTTATCGTGCTGCAAAAAAAGTAAAATATACCAACTTTTGTAGACTGCGAGTAGTCTCTTATTTTTGTTTTGAGTCGCGGAGATCGTGAGCACGTGTGAGGGGCGAGTGGCGAAGCCGCGAGGAACGAGGGCGGAAGCGCTCCTCCTTTTTATCATTTTAATGATAAAAAATTTCAATTTAAACATTTGAATAATTTCACTCTTTCGGTCGTGGCAATGAGGAAAGAAGGACAACTGCTCGCGGTCTATTATTTTTGCTGTATTTTGTGTTCTGTGTTGTTCTGAAGCCTTATGGACTGGTTTTGCTATCCTGTCATAACCTGCAGCAAAAAGTGAGTAACTATTTTATTTCAATTCTTTGCTACACGATAAGCTAAGATAAGAAACCGAGTTTCAATGACAAATACTGGAATCCAGAATCTAAGTATGTCTTGGTTAATCAGAGTTAGTTTAATTTCAAAGTGGTCTTAAGCTGTCGGGGACGCAAATGCATGGAAGTAGGTTGACCATACACCATGTTTTAAAAATTTTACTTACACATGTTACTGATATTTTAAAATTCCACACCTTAGCGAACGCTTCTTCTCGGTTCGGGTTCATATGACTTCACCAAAATTCAAACTAAGAAACTATCGCTTCTTCTGAGTTTCTACTTTCATGAGGCATTACAGCAGCTAAACAACTTTACTTGTATAAATTTTCGGTTCGAAAGCTTTCTTCGTTTTGTCATAAAGGACGTTTGAATTTTCAGGTTTTTGGGTGACGTGGCATTTAGCAGGCGGCCGGGAAAGCTCGTATGTGGCTTAAAAACGTTCCCAGGAGCCCATAACCTGACGTTACTGATTTTTTGAGATTTTGTAGAAACATTGCTTGTCTCAAAATAATTATTACTTGAATCTTTATGAGTTCAGTGAAACGATGAATTCGCGCATTTATACTGAGAAAAACTCAAAAACAAATGTTTCTGTTAGTTTTCGGCGGACATTTTGTGCCCCTCAAAGGGACACCAAGATGGCGTCTCCATACAAAACTTTATAAATTTGGGTGCAGACACCAAAACGCAGTGAAATACATCGCAGGTAAGTCTTTTTTATTCATTTTATTGAAGAAAAAAAAAATAGATTTAACGTTATTTAGCGTTCGCAGATCTCAGTAGTTTATTTCTCAAACAAGGTCTCTTATTTTCAACGGTCGCCTGGAACACGACACCGCCGCGTCCAGCACAAAAAGGTCAAGCGTCACCTATCTTTACACCCTTTCGGCCTTTCCTCGTAACGTGAGTTTGGTCCGACTGTGGTTCAAAAGTGGATAACGCTATCCATGGGATAAATGTCCATCCACTGGATAGTTCATAACACTTATCCACTGGATATCCGGTCGATAGCGCTATTAATCTTTTGAACAACCAGGGCCAGGTCTAACAAGCCTAAAAAGAAAGATTTTTAAAAACCTGCAAAAGCAAAAAGGAAACAAACAAACAAACAAACAAAAGGCGAAGTACGGTATTTTAAAAACATTTGAAAGCACTGGGATTTTGAGCAGAGCATAAAGTAACTATGTAATTGGCTTATGGAATGTGTAATTGTCCACTTTAACTGTTGGCTGTTTGTTTTGCCAATCACCGCGCAATTACATTCATTATACATACTTTTTCGAGTAAGATGTTACACATGCACAAAAGCAAGTGTTAATTTGCTTAAGAAAAAAGTTGATGTGGTTGACTGGCATTTGTCGGATATCGGTCGGGGGTATAATTACCTGCAGAGGTGTAGGATAAACATACTATTTCGAGTAAGATGTTACATATGCACAAAAGCAAGTGTTAATTTGCTTAAGAAAAAAGTTGATGTGGTTGACTGGCATTTGTCGGATATCGGTCGGGGGTATAATTACCTGCAGAGGTGTAGGATAATAAAGCTTAATACTAAACAGTACACTCTTGGCCGGCTAAAATTATCCCCGACATTGCCAATTTTAACTTACGCATACGTGTACTCTGTTTCTTCGATCTCGGCGATACGGATATTCCAATGTGATATTACTATGTCTGTCAACTAATCTTGGACTTTGGTGGAGTGATAATTCTAGACAATAAAACGGCACTCTTTGTTATAGTTTTACTTCTTCCTGTTTGCCTAAAGTAAGCTTAGTTCGCAGTATTAAAAACAACGCAGCATTTTCGTGCTTGAGGACTGCTCTTACCTTAAAAACAAAACGCAAACCTCTCGTTCAAACCACGACTCCTTCGAGATTTAAATGGCCTAAGGGTGTGCTATTGTGACGTCATTAGACTAAGTGACGGGTGACAATAGGGTCAAAGCGTGGATCGGAAAGAAAACAAGTAGCTAAAAGAGAATCATTTAAAATATGCATACCTCCACGTGTAATATCAGCGGATTTGATTACTGTGACAGTGTTTTGCTCTACTGATTCTCGCTGCTTGAGTGTTCGGCACCGCTCTGTTGTTGAGAGGACTAGTCTGCCTGGAAGTATGACCAAGGAGAGACGGACTTCATCGCCTGTTGACCAGGGCTCGCATTTACACATGGCTATCAAGCTGCTGAAAGCGGAAAACGCTAACCTCGAAAAGATAATAATTTTGCTCAGGACCGAGAATCAAAACATGCAGCGGAAGATGAAGGAGATGGAATACCAGAACGACCGCTTTAAAATCACGCAAAATCAGCTTAAAGAAGAGTTGAAGAGAGAAAAGGAGCTGGTCCGTTATCTACACAATGTGAACAAGAAATACGAGAGAACGCTGCAGAAAAAGGAAGCAGAAAGTAGGCAATTGCGAAAGGAGGCCAAAGAAGCGGAATTGAGGAGTCTAAAACGGGAAAGCAAAGATATAAACAACAATGCCAAGGACGAAGAGGTCCGGAGACCACAACCTCCTAAAAGATCTGACTCTTTCAAACGAAACAAGGACCTTGCGGCTATCAAAGACCAGGGAGCAGCGCTCGCTAGCAGTAGTAGTAGTACTAGCAGTAACGGTAGCGTTAGCAGTAGTGGTAGCCAAAACGCTAATTTAAAAACGAAACAACCACCGCAAGCAACACCAGCTTTGAAACAGACGAACTCGAGTGATGACTTAGCTTGCGAATGGGAAGACGTAACGGACGTGTTGGGGTTTCTCAACGAGAAAGTGAATCAGTTTGAGCGGTTACTTTTGGAGACTGGAGGTTCGAGTAAATCTGGCTCTGGGTCAGGGTATTCTTCATCGGACTCACTGACTTCTACAAAGTAAATTGCAACCTTTGCTCCGCTGCCTCAACAGCCGCGGCTGTCGTCTTCTGGGGTTGCTGTCATCACCAGCTGTATCATTCAACGCGCTGGACGCAGAGTAAGACACGGTTTACTTTGGCATGGTGTTCATGTGGTGCTTCTGTTCTCATTCTTATTTTCGTTTAACAGACAGTAATCGTTGGAAAGTGTGCTTTTCTAAAATGCTGTTGTATATGTCAAGAAGGCGTATTTACTGAACGTGGCCGGAGGTAAAATTCTTTAACTGCAACTGGTGAAAGTGATACCGTCTTGTGTAATTGTTTAAGCTACCAAGGTCAGTAATTTTTATTAGCCAATTTTATTTAGTTTTCATCACCTTTTACCGGCCTTATCGCTGTGAAACGAAACATTGTATATGTACAAATATATTTTTAATAAGTTACGTTTGACCTCGAAGGGTTTTTTATAATAGAGAAGCGTTCCACTGCTTCTTTTCAAGAAGCCTGATTGTCACGCAACGTCTAATACATGGAAAAGTAACGCCACGCAAATACAGTGCAACATTCTCTCGCTATTTTTAGGAACTAGTGCAATGTTATCTGTTGATAACAACCACGCTCTTAAGACTTCATACTTAAGATTTAAGATTGTTCTAGATGCTTTCTCCAATCCATAAATGATGTTAACGTTTTGGTCAAGCAAACAAACATTTCTGGAGACCAATCTTTTTTCCGGAAATGTGCGTAGTTGTTTACACTTTTATGCTCTTGTGGTCTGTGTACAGAGGTATACCCTTTGTTCCTTTATTGAAAGTTTCGTGGACACCCCCAGCGAGGTGTGCTTTACAAATTCGCGTCTATGGAATGCAACTTGTTAGAATAATTTGTCTGAAATGAGTAGAATAAATCTGTTTTTATTTCACCTGGTTTTGCTTCTCATTGGCCCTTCTGGTCCCTCTTTACGCAGAAACGGACACTTATGCAACGGTTTCTAAGAGGTTCTTTGGTAATCGTTTGGGAGAAAGTAGCTATATGTGGGGCAGCTGTCCAAAGATGATCAGTTACCTTATTCTCACTTAAACTTTTGTGTGTCTGGTGTATTGGAGAAATTAGATCTCTGCTGTTAAGTCATGTCTTCTCCAAATATGGCGTTGAAAGAGCACCAGATTAAATATATTAAGTAATTATGTTTCGTTATTCCATCCACTTACCCACTTGAGCCGTTTAAAAACAAAGTACTTGAAATCTAAAATCGGCACTGAACTCGGCCTGCAGGAAGAGCCAAATGACCGCAAATAGACCCTTCCAATAAAAAGGCACCGGAATATCCGTCAACTGTACAGCTGCCGGAAAGGCAAAATATGGCTTACCTAACCAAAGGACGTTCAAAGAGAGAGAAGATATTGCTTTACTTCAGTTTGCATGGTGGGGGGCGTGAACCGTCTGTAAAATTATACGGCTTTCCTTTTAGTTATTTTAATCTATTTGTCACATCAGATTTTGAATTTTCCGGCGACGCCCGGGGGGGGAGGGGGTATTCGACCAATACTTGGGTATAGGCCTGAGCCCCCCCCCCCAACCTGTTTAGGACGAAAAAATCCTAAAATACATACCCTGTTTAGGACAACACCCTCGAATTTATTACCCTGTTTAGGAAAAAGGACAAAATTAGACTGTGAGCGGTCTCTTATTTTCTTTTGAGACACGGTAGAATGCGAGCAGGAGCTCGAGAAATGAGGGCGCGCGCGACAGGCGAGCGGCGAGCAAAGTTTAACTTTTCGCTCGCCTCGCGTGGCTCTGAGGAAAGAAGGACGACCGCTCGCGGTTTAGGACAAAATGCACGCCGTACTGTTTTTAAGCCATTTATTGGCAATTAAAATACAGCAAATTTGCGTTACAATCAGGTCTTTTATACTTGTACAAACAGATTTCATCCTGGTGAGGACAGACACGCACACTGTTTAGGACAAAGAGGTCAAAAACCATCCAGCCAATCGTCCAGCCATCCGGTCAAAAACCGTCCAGCGCCCTTCCCTGCGCCAGCCGTGTAAGTATCAATTGTCACGCTGGCAAAGTTTCCAATTTCAAATGCAAACTAGTTGCATGGTATAGGCGCGCGCAAGGGGCGTTCACAGGCACTGGAGGATAGCCAGACGGGCCTGGAGTCCGCCTACAAAATTAAATGGCTCAATTTGAAGGGCAAATGATGAAGCTTTTTTCGAGCCGATCTCGCAGAGTGGAATGGGAGGTTTCCTTCTTGGGCTGGAGCTGAAAACAGTTGTAGTGGATTCGAATTTCGGCGAAAAAACGGCATTTGATGAGACTGGTCCAAGACCCTGCCAGATATGATCGCAATGATCGACCAGCTTCGACTTCGTTCATATATGAGTTTACGCAATTCAGCCTAAAAATCCATTGAAACACCAAAACACAGTGGAATACATCGCAGGTAAGTCTCTTCATTCATTTCCTGGAACAGACGTTTAGATTTAACTTTTTTTAGCGCTCGCAGACCTCACTATTGTTCAGCATTTCTCATGAAAGGTTGACAGTCGCTTGTTTATGCGACACCAGCTCGTCCAGCAAAAAGGTCACGCGTCACCTATGGCATGTAAAGTACTTTACACGTGAGTTTGGGCCGCCTATATTAATTGCGTATTTCCTAAGAAAATAAACAAATCTGGATTTAACAATTGAACTGAAATTGTGGCGAATTACCGACCTTACACGACTCAAAGCAAGAAAAGCCGCTTTTTTGCTGTTTGATCAGCCCAAGCTGAGGACCAAACACTGAAAAATCGCTCCATGTAAGGGAATCCAAGACAGTCTTGGATTCTGGATTCCACGTCATGATTTGCAGATACCAGTTACTGGATTCCGGATCATTTTTCAGTGGATTCGGGACTCCTTGAGCTGCATTCCGGATTCCAGATTACACTTCCCCAGGCTCCTGACTTCCCGGATTTCGCATCCTGATTCCCTTGAAAGGGGCGAAAAACTTTCGACCGGTTGCATCAATATGATTGCGTTGCTCCGGTGTGCACTTTAAGACGGACATTGTATCCAGTCCACCGTATTTTCAAGATTCGAAATGAAAAATTTTCACCAGTTTTCTACAGTCAAACCCAGTTAATACGAGGACTGAGGGAACCATAAAAAGTGTCCGTATAAACGGGGGATCAGTATTAAGCGGGTTGAATTTCAGTAGAGAAAATTGATGTCGGGGCTTAGTTTCCCCAAGGACAAAGCAAACTATCCATAATAATGAGGTGTCCGTAGAGCGAGGTTTGACTACAGTTGAGTTTAGCGCTCCGATTCGTAAAAGCAGGCAGATAAATAAGAAGGGATTGGGGTGATCAAAGGTCATGTGCAGAACGAGCGAAATGACTGAATTTCCGAGTGGAAATCGTCTGAATGCATACCAATACTACTCGCTTTGAGTTATCACGATGAACTGATCACATGAAGTACGGGCATTTTGTTAAGTATAAAACAACATCTTTGATTTATCGGTTATCGAAGACCGAAACAATGACGGTCAATGTATGCCGTCATTTGTAGATCAAGATTACCGACCGAGGAATTCGATAGCTAAAACAGGGTACTTGCTTTCGTTGCTTCAAAAGTCTCAAACTTGTTTAGTTTAGTTTCACTGATTTAAAATTCTGTGAGGGAAAGACTCACTGGGTAATTAAAACTGAGCCTCGAAATTAAACAATAACGATACGAGAAAGCTGAGTCNCGGTGTGCACTTTAAGACGGACATTGTATCCAGTCCACCGTATTTTCAAGATTCGAAATGAAAAATTTTCACCAGTTTTCTACAGTCAAACCCAGTTAATACGAGGACTGAGGGAACCATAAAAAGTGTCCGTATAAACGGGGGATCAGTATTAAGCGGGTTGAATTTCAGTAGAGAAAATTGATGTCGGGGCTTAGTTTCCCCAAGGACAAAGCAAACTATCCATAATAATGAGGTGTCCGTAGAGCGAGGTTTGACTACAGTTGAGTTTAGCGCTCCGATTCGTAAAAGCAGGCAGATAAATAAGAAGGGATTGGGGTGATCAAAGGTCATGTGCAGAACGAGCGAAATGACTGAATTTCCGAGTGGAAATCGTCTGAATGCATACCAATACTACTCGCTTTGAGTTATCACGATGAACTGATCACATGAAGTACGGGCATTTTGTTAAGTATAAAACAACATCTTTGATTTATCGGTTATCGAAGGCCGAAACAATGACGGTCAATGTATGCCGTCATTTGTAGATCAAGATTACCGACCGAGGAATTCGATAGCTAAAACAGGGTACTTGCTTTCGTTGCTTCAAAAGTCTCAAACTTGTTTAGTTTAGTTTCACTGATTTAAAATTCTGTGAGGGAAAGACTCACTGGGTAATTAAAACTGAGCCTCGAAATTAAACAATAACGATACGAGAAAGCTGAGTCGGCCAATATACGGCAAGGACGCCAACTCGCTTTAATTGAGTTGTTTTTGCCAGGAGCCTATATCACGCTTCTTAGTGTTTTTGTCCTTGACCTTGTAAAACAAAAACTGTATCATCCTTTTTTAAAAAACTCACCCTGCTTGATTAAAATTCTCAGGGATAAGACGGGGTGTATTCAGTGTATTTGGTTGCAGTTGTGCTCTCGTCTTACATAGACTGCAAAACAGTCGTTTTTTTCCCCAAAATCAGTAAAGAAATCGGTAAAGCGCGGCGTAAGAGTCTTGCGCGCGCGAAGGGCGCGAGCCTCACACGCCTGTTTTCAGCCTCGTTCCATACCTTTTGTTTGACTACTCGCACGTACTTGAATACGCAAAAATACGGGCTGTTTTGCAGTCTACGTCTTACAAAGCTCGAGTGTTTTATATAATGCACAGCCTTTTTAATTTTTTTTAATATTAACATTGGACCCGTGGTGTCCAAATCTCGCGTACAATATGCAAATCCTGTCATCTAAGGTAATATTATTTTTGCCAGTGGGCTGTCTCCCAAGGTCGACACAATTGCAAATTGCAATAAAAAAAGAAAAAGGAAATAGTTAGAAGAAAAATCAGTGACGTATGCCAGTGCACTGGTAACCAGTACCCCAAGCTCACGGGTGAGAATCGTTGTTGCGTAACAGAAAGATCACCTCGCCGTGTGAGCTTCCGTGTGGTATACGTTAATAAGTAACTTTGCCTGACTGGATCTCGTGACAGTCTTAAATTCCAACACGCGATATTTTTGCTATCGCATCTCTATCTCATCTACTTGTGTCGTGTTCTACGCATCACTGTTTTCTGAAACTAAACAGCTCCTGTTATCACCCCTTGACCCATGGATAAGCACCTGGAGACTCTTATAAATGAGAACAAAAAACTACGTGGCAAGCACAATGAGCTGGAGTTAAACCTTACTGAGGAGAAAGAAATGGTAAAATATCTACATGGCGTGATCAAAAATTATCAAAAGCTATTGAAGAAGCCAGAAACGACGCGACATCTTAAGACTAAGTCGATAAAGAACAGAGATCGTTTTACAACCGTTAGACGTCAAACCATTGAAGCAGATGCTGAAGACGTCGTTGTAACTGCTACAGACTTTTGTAAAATGAGCGACGATTATACAAAGGGTGCAGGCACTAAAGGGAAGGTTTTCCAGTCAAGTAAATTTGCGGGGAATAACTATCAGGAGGCAGCTGTTGTGAACAAGCCAAACTGTGGAACTACAGGCAGCATTATTAACACCAATAGCAATACCCAAGGTAGATCAGATGAGAAAGTGTCTTCAATCACTGTTACACCCGATAAAATTAGTAAAAGAGACCACGCTTGGGTTTCGCAAGAAACGATTCATAACGGGAAGGGCAGACGAAATGATCAGGGGAGCGACAGTTATTGTGGTATTCAGGAACAATTTATCTCGTCTTCGGAGTCTTCAGCTTCAGAGGCGGACATAATCTCGCAGACACGGCCAAAATACACTGATACCGGTAATATTTTACAAGAAATGGCACAAATGTTGGACTCGATGATGGCTAAAGCTATCATGCACGAAAACGCTTTAAAACAGAAAGACAAGCACTTAAAAAGAATGGAGCGGAGGTATGAATATTTGGCAAGCATAGCTTTAGGTGAGGAATCCGAGTGGTTGTGATCATGTTTTCAAATTATTTTTTTCGCGTGACTTCCTTTAACTGCTAGTACAGTACTAATCTCAGTCACATGCAAAAAAAAAATAACGTATGATATTAAACGATGGCTTTTCATGACACAATAAGCATATAAAAATACTCTTGTATCACTCAGAGTAAATTAAAGTCTTTATTTTCACACTTGTAAAGAATGATTCTCAAATTTGCAAAGCGTCTGCGCGTCCATTCAAGCGCAATAAATTGCTAAATACTATTAGAAATATTGTAGTCAATGAAAAACTGCTCGCTCATGCTGCGTGCTACTAATTTGATCCTGTGTACGTTGAGTCTTGTGATGGAAACGTCAGCACAGTTCTTCATTTTAGTATGGCGTGTAACCTTACCAACAACATTTAAATAAGCAGTTATCAAGACGTATTAGACTTCTATAGGACGGATTATATCACAATAAACAAACTGGCCTATACCGGTATTCAATATGAGTTATTACGGCGCGGCTTTGCGGTATTTTGATATCTTTTACAGCTCATTGACTTCTTTTGTTTTTTTGTACATTTAAATAAAGCAATTAATCACATCGTTATTGAATTAACAATTTCACACCAAAAGTTAAAAATGGAGATGGTCAA